GATCATTTCACAATAAAATAGATTGGGGATCATTTGTACATTTTTTTGGTGATCATTTCGCAACTAACACATTTTGGTGATCAATAGTCATTTTTTTGGGGATCATTTGTCTATTTACCCTAAAAGGTTCTTCGTCGAATTTGGTTTTAGTATTGTCTGATTTTCGAGGCTTCAATTAATTTATTTGATGAGAAAAAGAAATAGCTTTTCTATCAAACCTATAATATTATTGGAATTCGAGATTTTTCATATTAATTTTTCGTCGAAAATAGAAAAAATTCAAATGCTAATGGACTGATAAACATAGTTACTTGATGGTTTTATTTCATAGATAATTTAGTGAAGTTGATAATTAATAGAACTAAGCAGTTTCTTCCGTCAATTGATATAATCTCTGATATTACAGATTATAAATAAGTATTCAAATAAATTTTCTATCAATGTAATTTAAAACTACATAAAGAATAAATAAATGAACATTTCCGATTTCAAATTTGTTTTAATATTTAGTTAGTTTACATATTGATTGAATTTTATTTCAATTAACTCAATAGCTAGCTTTTTAAAATTCAATTTTTCGATTTGTTTTTGTGAATTGATGGACAAAGATACATATAAAATAGATAAATATTTGGAATCAAATCTAATATTTGTCTATCTGTTGCCCTGATAATGAAACATATTGTCATCGGATCCATATAGTTTTTATCCTCTTCGTATTTATATTTTCAATAATACAATATCATCAGTTTTATTATTAATAAAAACTAACATTTAATTCTAGGATATTTTATGTACGAACTAAACTTTGTAATTGAAACCTTTTGGCATAATCAACAAATTTATTAAGAATTGTTTTTTTTGTTAATAAAATCAAAATATTATAAATGATTGAAAGTAATTGATATTTTCAGTAACATAGACAAATAAATCACCTGAAGATAACAAGAATAGACTAGAAAACGAAATAAAGTTTAAAATAAGAATACATTTTTTTCTTCTTTTTTCAAAAATCAAATAACAACGGCAATTGATAGAAACAAAAAGAAAAGTTGTTCGTTGATCAGTTCTTATTGTGGTCATACGTAAATTGAAAGCATTTTAATTTAAAATATGTTTTGCTTGAATTGATAACTAATCAAATATGAAAGGACATTTTAGTCTTCAATTGAGACTTTAGAAGAAAAAAGAAACGTCCATTGATGATGAAGATAAATACAGATTAGACTTTATATGCCTTTACTAATTCATCAAATTCACACATCCTATTCTCTATCAGAGATGAAAATGTTACTAAATACTCGATAGATTCTTTAATACAATGAAAATGAATAAAAATAGATACGTGATGAATCTGTAATGACATATATTTTGATAAGATTATTATTGAATACAAGTTTGAATATAGTAAATGACGAACTAAATATCCATTATTACTTCGAAAATAAATCTGAAACTTCATTTAAAAAATTGTCTTGTTTAAAAATAATAAAATAGAAATAATACAAAAATAACCAGTCGATTGAAGTACGGCTACATAAACTTAAATTGGAACAAACCAAATGAATTCAATTTCAGTTAGTGCTTATTTACATCGAAGATATAGACACCAAGAAAGCAAGAGAGTAGGCAATAGAAAGAGAAAATAAGAAAAAGAAAGAAAAAGAAAAATGAAGACTGCATTTTACTTAATTGATTATTATGTATTAACTGATTCTTTATAGCTGCAACTGATTTATGGAATAAAAAAAAGAAGAAAACTAGATTTATTTGTCAGAGAAAATTCCTTTGAATGATAATTCATTTTGTTTATTATTGCGAAACATAATTTTGATTAAAATTTATTTTCAATTAAATTAAATTTATGAAGTAAAGTTAAATATATTGAATGAAGAAGAAAGATTATTTATTTGATTAATAATTAAATTGATCAATATGTATGTGGCAATAGAAATTAAAATTCTACTAGAGACATATACAATAGAAGTATTTTAATTTGTTCTGTAGTAAAAATTAAAATTCCCATTTTATACGAATGATTATTTGTCAATAGGAAAGGAAGAAAAACGAACGGTTTGATTATTTAACTTAAGCTTCTCAAAATATTATCATCAACGAGAAAAACATTAAAATATAATAAAAAAATTGAGCCCATTTATTTGAAAATTTAAGCGAGAAACTTCATTTAAATAAATATTGCGTTTGCTTTTGCATGTAATTATTTGAATAAAATGTGAATTTTAGTTTCTATTGCTTCAAATTTATGTAAAACCTAGTCGTTTTATCAGTCTTCTTGTTTTTAATTCAAAATGTGAACTAAATTTTAGGAATAATTATTTTTGTCAAAAGTAATTAATATTATGAAGACTTTTGACGAATATCTTTATTTAAAAACATTCAATTATGAAAAAGCAAAAAAAAGCGACGAGAAGAATAAAGACAGAAGTAATTTTTCTTAAATGAAAGAAAATTGAAACAATAATCGAATGAAAAGTTCTTTTTCAAATCTAGTTTCGAATTCTTACTATTGGATTTAATAAATATTTTTTCGATTCATTATCAACAATTAATTCTGATGCATTTGTTTTAATTCAAAAAAGGGAAAATTGAATTGATCATGAAAATGTTCTAGTAAGAAATAAATTCAAAATCGAATTATTATTTTTATTGTATACAAATGTTTTTGCATATTAAATTTCGCAGATTAGTGATGATTAAATATTAAAATAAAATCTAATATCGACAACTTATGCAAGTTTTATTTGTATTTAATTGAAAGTGTAAAAAGATTTGACTATCATAATATCGTTCGACAAAAAGAAGAATATAGTGTTCAGTTGATGTTTTTATTTGATTAATTTGAACAATAGAACTAAGCGGCCTCTTCTGACAAATAATCTTTGACTGGTGATTAAAATCAATCGAAAAAATTTATTCTTTCATTTAATTAAAATAAACAAACAAATACGGCGTTGATTTTTCTTCTCGTCTTTTAGACAAAAAGATTTAAAATGTGGTTTATTAAATTAGTTTTATTTGTTGGAATATTAAATAAATATTCAAATGGATTTTACAAGAATGTAAATGAAAATTATATTTAATATCGAATGCAATGTTATTTTTAATATCTAGTTTAAATATTCGTTGGATTCAATTTCAATTAAAACCAAATCAATTCCGTGTCCAGGTTACAATAAAAGAATTCTTTTCTTTATAATTTTTATTTTTCGTCTTCTTTATGAATAGATAAACAAAGGTAATTAAAGTTAATACAACTATGAAAGAAAGATCAAATATTTCTTTAGTTATTGTCCTGATAATGAAACATGTTGTCTATTATCATCAGGCCAATATGGTTGTTGTCCTCTGCGTATGAATTTATTAGTATCATGTCATTCTAATTTTATAAGTTTTTCTTTTATAAATCTAGCTGATGCTGTTTGCTGCAGTAAGTTTAATATCTAAATAAGTTAAAAATAAAACAATATATTGTTTAAATAAGATGATAATCTTCATTGTTGTCCAAATGGTTATACGTGTGATGTTGAACATTCAAGATGTCAAAAAGGATTTGTAAATTCTTATGATATTTTATGTCCTGATCGTATGTCATTCATTCATTCGTTCATTCATTTCGTTCATTTTTATTTCTCATAAGTTTAGATGAAATGTCTTGTTCTTATGGTTAAAATTATTTATTTTGAAAAAAAAACTTCAATAATCTAAAATAAAAATTTAATTTTAGGCTAAACATGTTGTCAATTACAATCGGGTGAATATGGTTGTTGTCCATTACGTTAGTTTTTTATGTTTGTTTTTCAAATTAAAAATTTGATTATTGATTCTAGCAAATGCTGTTTGCTGTAGTAAGTTAATATGAGAAAACAAACAAAGAACTTATGAAAATAAATTAATATATTAAAGATGATTATAGTCATTGTTGTCCAAATGGATATATATGTAATATTAAAGAAAACAAATGTGACAAAGGAATTTCAATTCCATGGTTTAGAAAAAAATCAGCTTTTCCTTTGAAAAATATTTTATCATCAAAGATCATTATTAGAAATTTATCACTATCTCTTTCAACAATTCAATGTTCTGGTTTGAATTTTTGTTTTTCTTAATAATTAATAATATTTTTTGGATAATTTGCTAAAAGATGAAAAATCAATATGTCCAGAAGAAACAACTTGCTGTGAATTAAATGATCATTCATATGGATGTTGTCCGTATCGTCAAGCATCTTGTTGTTCTAATAAAGTCTCTTGATATTTAATCACAAGCATTTCTTTTAGAAAAATAGATTTGATTTAGATTCATTGTTGTCAAAAAGGTTATTCATGTGATGAATCAGGTTCAAGATGTATTAGACATTTGAATTTTATTGAAAAACAAAATATTAAAAGTCAAAGGTTAATTTCATTGTCGATTGTTCAAGAACAAATATGTCCTGATGAGAAAACAATATGTTCATTAAATTCAACATGTTGTCCAAATAAAAATGAACAGATTATAAGTTATTCATGTTGTCCTTATTCAAATGTAAGCTAGATTTATTTTCTCAAAATTTATTTTCTATAAAAGAATAATTGAATAAAATCAAGGGTACATGTTGTGGTTCAAATGGTTCATTTGTTGCCCATACAAATATATTTGTGATGAAAAACAATTGACTTGCCAATTAAATAAAACAATTCATATTGACAATCAATTTTTAAATAAATGTGGATCATCGAATTTCGTTTGTCAATTTAATCAAACGTGTTGTAAAACTTCTCAATCAACTTATGATCAATATGCTTGTTGTGATTTTCCTCATGTAAATTCTTACTGAAATCTTTAATTTAATTTCCATAAATGTTTATAGGCTGTTTGTTGTGATGATGGTCAACATTGTTGTCCCATGGGTACTTTTTGTGATAACAAATCTTGTGGATGTATTACAAGTTAATAACATTGAAACATATTCTTTATTAATATTAAGTTTCTTTTTTGTTACTTGAAGAAATCAAATTCTTGTTAAAATAAATTTCTTTTGAAAAGAACAGAATTATTTTTATGAATCATATTGACTCAGAAATTATGATTCAACGAAAGAAATATATTTCTTTTTATTTTCTTTATATTCGAAATGTCATTAACAAGTAAGTATTGGATAGTTGTTTGTGTCAGTGATACACATCAACATCATCGCCAATTAACAGATCGATTAAAATCAACTCATGCTGGTGATATTCTTATACATGCTGGAGATATAACAAATTTTGGCCGTGGTTCAAAACCATTCGAAGATTTTGATCAATGGTTAAGTGAACTTTCATTTAAACATAAATTAATTATTGGTGGAAATCATGACTCGATTTTAAAGCCAAGTCTTAATCATGGAAAATTTTTAAAAGATGAACAAATAGTTATTGATGATTGTCTTCGTATATACGGTTCATCGTGGCGTCCTGTAGGTCAATCAGCATGGTTAGATATTCCTTCAAATTCACATATTGTAATAACACATAATCCACCGGATTCACGAAATGGATCACATGTTGATTTAGAAATTCAGTTACAATTAAGATTAAATAAAATAAAGCCTTTATTATCGATTTTTGGTCATATTCATGCAGATTATGGTGTTTGGAAACAACCGAATGGAGTTTTATTTGCTAATGCAGCATCAATACCATGTTCTCGTTCTCAAATATTAAATGATCCTTTAAGATTTAAAATTTCCATCGATGAAAATTCAATCGCTTCTATTGAACATCTTATGTAATTTACCCAAACAAAAGTGCAAGAGAAAATCATACTTACTCATAGAACAGTATATGCAAAGACAAAATAGACGATATATTTAGGTGATTCTGTTGTCTATTGTGCTGCTTTTTCCCACTGAATCTTTTTAATTACTTATGTCTTGATATTTGCAACATAGATTTTATGCTTCAGTTGCCACTCTGAACTCGGTGTGGTTTTGCCTGAAACGAGGCAATTTAGAAGTCACATTTCAATGAATATCAATAAAATTGAAATAATTAGATAACGGAATAAATTAGTAATAGTGGAAACGTGTGAATAAACAGAGAGAAATTTAATTTTAGCAACATATGTAGAACATGACTGATAAAGACTATTTTGGATGATCACACAGTATGGTAGACACCAGAATCATCTATATGTATTTAGTAGAGATCTGCGTGACCATTTCATCGTGACCAAAGAAAAAGGAAATAGGCACGCAGATCTCTAGTATTTAGTAATATGAAAAGCAATTTTCTATGCACTGTTTTTTCTGGTTTTGGTGATAGATTTATAAACGAGACTAACAAAGCCAACGCGCTACTTGCTATTTAATGCATGAATAAACCAATAAAATTCAAGTTTCTTTTCCCATGTCGTGAATATTGGATCATTTATTGCGCATGTTTATCGCACGTAAACGTAAAAAAGACGATCTTCAAAATAGCTTAATTGATGATTTGGAACACTTTTTTTGTCAAAGATTATAGACGAATCGGTTAACCGCTTTTTTAGCGCTAACCGTCGTATTAATCAAAACCCGCAGTAAATTCCCTCGAGTTACTCGATCCTACCTCCGGGACCCATCGGAGCCGGTACCGGATTACTCCAGGAGCCGGCGTGTTTCCCACAAAAATCTGCCAGAATCCGACAAGGACTTCGCCGGGATCTTTGCTCTCGACATCTGAATCAAAATTCAAAGGAAAATGGTCAGATCGTTTCCTGCTGGATAATACAACCGAACATTGTCGAAACCTATCGACTCCACCTACCGGATGATTCCGGGTTCACAACGGCTTCATCGCATCTTTAACCGGATTCCATCAAATTCCGATGACGAGGACTTCATACAGCACCTCTCATAGAAGCATTATTCAATCAGAAGATGAAACATCTGTAGTCATCCCAAAACGCACACCGACCGACAAAAGCACGCCTTATCAATAATCTCACATAGCCCCTAACATCACTCAAAACAGACCGCACAAAAACATTGCCGCCAGAATTGATCACTCTGAAAAACATTGTAACCCGAATCTAACATCATATGAGTCAGCAATACACATGCTTAAAATAATCAAGAACCATCCTACCATACTTTTTATTCAGTAAACAAGAGTCTAAACTTATTTAACGGGTCGTCTTGTAGCAATTTAATTCTTGAAAAATAGCTCCACACATTTTTCACCAATCGAAATAATTAATAATTCATAGATAATGCATCTGAATATCATTCTAGATCGTCCCAGAGTACTTTTTCTGCATGAAACAGGATTCTAAGCATCTTTCATTACGGATCCAACCACACTTCCTTTTGACGAAAATCGCTCCCCACGTCAACTTTGACTTATCTAAAATGTCACTAAATCGTAGAGAATCGTTTTGCTTATCATTCTAGACCGTTGCAACATCACTTTTCTCGTGTAGCATGATTCTGAGCGACATTCAAAACCTATTTAATGGAATATCAATTAATTAAAAATTTGTGTAAGCAACATCCTAGTTTCCCCAAGAGCGTTTGTTGGTGACTTGAAATGATGCTTTGGGTCTTACTAGACCGAGCAAACACGTATGGCCGGCGTTTTAAATGATGTCGAGTTGTATGAACGAACAACATAGTATGCATCAGGGTTGAGCACAGGACAGAACTGCCCTGCTGTCCTGTCTTTTCCTGTGCTCAGCTCTGATATGGGTATAAATATTTTTTGTGAATATTTGACTCAGTATGTGCTCTGATTTACATCATACTTATTATATCAAGTACTTTTTCATGTTCTCCTTTTATAGTATCATTCTTTAAATGTGAAGATAATACTGCTAGAATCCTAGATTATTTGTAAATTTTATTTCCAGTAATGATGGTGTCATAAAAATAATAACTCAAGGTTGTTTCCTATTTTTTGTATTTAAGATGTTATTGTTTACTAAAAAGTTCAGTTTTTGTATTTGAAATTATACGAAATATACTGACTACATTGTAGAAAATTAAGTAACCTAGGCTTGGATTACTGACAGTAAAAATTACAAATATTGCTGCTATCACATCCATGATGAATACAAAACAGGACGGTCCTGGTGTCCTGTTCTGTACTGCAGGACAAGGTTAAAGCTTTTGTCCTGCCCTGCCGCTCGCCAGAACGGACCGGGGTATCAAGACAGGGCAGAAAAACTTGTCCTGTGCTCAGCTCTGGTATGCATATATATCAACTTTACCTCGTCGTGGGTAATCATTAATGACTCTGGGTTTCGCGTTAGACCAGGAGATGATCGTGAAATCAGCTTATATTAGCAGGAGCTATGATAAACGACTTGAATGAGACTCATCCGGGTCGATAAATTCGCTCAGCATCAATACATACATGATCATATTGCTAATATGGATTGATTTTTCATAAATAACCACCCATTGGATGAACCATAATTTTTAATTCATGCCTATCATCGCTTGTATGAGCTATTAACTAACGACCTGAATGGATCACAAGATGTTCCTTTAGTATCCGATGATTATTTCAGACGTTTTCGGTCGGATCTGTGTTGCAAGAAGCGGTGAAATCCAGCGGGTAGAAACGTTCCGTTCTGATACGATCCGATGTGTTCCGAGGATACTGATTAAGCCGGATCTACCATGAAATTGGACGTTATGCGGCACGGTGGCTTCTGGTAAAGGTTTGTTACCGGATATTGCATGATCACGTCGTATACGGCCCAGTCGTATCATTTGACATGATCGTTTCCGCCAATGTAAATCTGACTGGTTTTCTGAGGATCTGGTAACCAGATTTCATAAGAAAATAAAGAAATTAATCGGAATTCACCAGAAATTAACCAACTGAATCCGGTCACTATGCGACATCGGAATTATAAACCGTCCGACAAGATCCGACTGATCGATAATGACCTGGAAAGCTGTCACATATACAAGTCTTTAGTCTCGATTCAGGTGGCACGAAAGGACTCAAATCAAGCCTTTCGTTAAGGGTGCAATATTTGCTCAGATATCGAGCTATAGTGTGAGAGCCGTTTTTACTTTTGTTTCCATCATCGAGTTTACGAGATCAATGCCCTTCGTTATCTCGATTATCTTCTATATTCTTTTTTATATTATAGTAAAAGAGATTTTTTGAAAATTCACACAAGACATTTATAATTAACAATGTTCATGTTTGTTCTACCTGGGTATATGTATCTACGTATGAAATAGAGTGTTTGACATTCCCTTTTTAGTAAAATATTATGTTAATTGATCAACGGGGAACAAACTGATTTCACTCACTGAAATCAAGTCGAAATCAGTTGAAATCGCCGAAATCACCTGAAATCAGGAGAAATCGCACGAAATCAATAGAAATCATAATTTTTCTATTTATGAGCCAGCCAATATAAGTCACGACGGATTCATACAGAAGCGGTTCAATCGAAGTCGTCATATTGCACTCAATTAAAGGACTTCATGACTCAAATGAATTACAAAGTAATTCAAAATAACTGAATTATATACTAATTCTCTATCAAATATTTTCTATTAATGTTGGTGTCAGAGTCTATCATCGTCTACCAGGGTCTATCAGGGTTCTACAAATATTTGAACTATGATGTGCGTGTTCTCGCTGCGTACACCCTACATCACACCCACACTATCGTGTATGATAGATGTGCGTGTGCCGCCGCTCTTAACCTCCTTCCTCACATACACACCCTGATAGACTCTGACACCAACATTAATAGAAAATATTTGATAGAGAATTAGTATATAATTCAGTTATTTTGAATTACTTTGTAATTCATTTGCGTCATCCAGTGAATTAACGATATGTTGTAAAGAGAAGAGTTGTAAGAATTTTGACGCAAACCGTTTAAAAAAATATTAATCACTTGGTTTTTCATGAGCATTATGCGAAAAGCCCTAAGATTCACCATATCTAGAAAGCGGGTCCTATTGGAGTCCTATCTCAAGAACAACTCGATTAATTGAGCTGAAGTGTTTCAGAGATATATATCTCGGTGACTCCTATTTGCCAAAAAAATGGGCTCTTTCCTATTGGAACTGTGCCCAGGTCAGTTTAGAAATTGCTCGAAGAGTTGTATTAATTATATAAGATAAATTCTACTTAGTTAAAGTTAGCATATGATCCTCTATTACCTTCTTTAAAAATATTGTTTAAAAAAAACAGAAAATCCTGTGAAAAATTGCTCTAGGCGACTAGGGGAGACTCAACGAATGTAAATTTATCTCAAGAGACCTGGAGGGGAGTACGGGAATTTTTCTAAAACAATTTTCTTTTCTTTTTCAAAGAATATTTTTAAGGAAGGCAATAGAGGATCATACGCTAACTTTAACTAAGTAGAATTTGTCTTATATAATTAATACAATTCTTCGAGCAATTTCTAAGCTGACCTGAGCACAGTTCCTATAGGAAAGTGCCCATTTTTGGTATATTTTGATAATTCTCCTAGGGCCATTCTTTAAGATGCCACGCTAATTTTTTCGCAGGTTTTTAGCGTAGTGAGAGTACTTCTAGCTTCTACATATCAGCTCCCAAGCAGATCCATTTTCTGGGAGATCGCTTTTTCTGAAAACCCCCACAATTGTCAAAAACCCATTTTTGAGGGGACTGTTCTGATCAAACGCAATAATGTAGACATCTGAAATTTTTAGGAGCAGTACATCTTTCAGTGCTCTTTCCATATTGAAAGATTCAAATCCATTTCTAATTCCAAACAAAAGGTTTGAATTACGCAAGTTACCAAAAATGTTCCTTTTTTCATATATTAAGTAATTCATAAAATCCCAACAATTCAATATTTTAAAACGAAAAGCTTTGGTAAATAGGAGTCACCGAGATATTTATCTCTGAAACACTTCAGCTCAATTGATCGAGTTGTTCTTGAGATAGGACTCCAATAGGACCCGCTTCCTAGATATGGTAAATCTTAGGGCTTTTCGTATAATGCGCATGAAAAATCAAGTGATTAATATTTTTTAAACGGTTTGCGTCAAAATTCTTACAATTCTTCTCTTTACAATATATCTTTAATTGAGCGCAATATGACGACCTCGATTGAACCGCTTCTGTGGACTGGCTCATATGTAGCAGTGATCGAAGAAAAAATGATGCTAGAAGAATAAAATACGTTCGATAGTATAACACTAATTCGTAAATTGATATCATTTTGTCAGTTAATTTTAATGTTTTTAAATAAAAATACTGATTGTCGAATTCACTCTAGGTTAATTAACTGGATATCCAGTAGTGCTTGGTACCCAATCGAACTGATGTTCAGTGATTGAGTCGCGACTGGAGGGTGCGACCCTACTCCCATGAAGCGGTTGAAATCAACTGAAATCAAGTTTTGATTTCGGAAATTAGAAATCACGAAATCAGTTTGTTCTCCCTTGTAATTGATTAAGAAAAATTTATCCTCATATTCGTATATTAATATTCTTATAATTGCAATAGAAGATATCATCTAATAATATATTTCATTTGAATGCTGATCATGAGTATTCGAGGATTATATAAAAAGAAACAAATTCGAGTAAATGTTATTCGTTATCGACATAGAAACGGATTTTGCTGCGTTTCAACACTTTATAAAACGATGGGCTGTAGGGGTGGCACTTTAACTTTAAAATACTTTAAGAAAGTAATTAAAGTTAAACCATTCCATATTTTACACTTTAACTTTACATTTTGTTAAAACTAAAGTAAATTTTTCATAAAAATTTTATTTTCCCTTAAAAAAGGTATTTCTTCCACCAAAAAATATTTTTTAATAAAAAAATAGCTTTTTCTATATGAACATTGTTCTTTTATGGCAAAATAATCTTTTTAGGAGCAATGAGTTTTTGAAAAATACACTTTAAGCTTTAACTTTTATTAAAGTTAAAGTAAATTAACTTGAACTTTAACTTTAATTTTAAAGAAAAGTTAAAGTGCCAACCCGAATGGGCTGTCTAATTCGAGTTTGAATATAAATGCACATTCAACTGTTTGGTATCACTTCGAAAATAAATCAACAAACTTAAATCATAGTATTACTCTGCAATAGAAATAAATTTATTTCTAGATATATATATTTATTATGAGAGACAATCATTGCACAATATATTCTATATGGAATGAAGAAGAATCACATATTAGAGATTGTTCATAAACAAAAAACTCAGAAATATAAGATATATTCTTATAAGAAAAATGATTTAGCTATATTTTCTATCTTTCTTGAGCAATAAAATAAAAGTTACTTGTTTTCTTATTTACTTTATTACAAGTTCATTATTATTTTGAGTCTTTCTTGTTGCAATCTCCTATGAAGTAACTGCAATATTTAATTCACATCGACATCGATTACTCATCGAAAACAGATCGATATATTTTAAAATATGGAGTGATTAGAGAATATATAATAGGACAAATTTTTATGTATAAGTTTTTTTTCTGAAAGTCAATGTTGACTTTCTTTTTATTTTGTCGACAATAATTTTATGATAATAGGACATGAAATTATAACATTTGTAGAAAAAGAAAAAGTGCTTGAAAAAGGTGAAAGATTATTAAGAAGAAAAAACACATTTGATTTCTTTGTTTAAATAAAATTCAAGAAGAATTGAATCTTCGTCTGACAGATGGGTCATTCTTATTTAAATTGAATGGTAACAAATAAGATAATTTGTTTAAACAACAGTTGAATATCGTTTCAAATCGTATCTTGAATAAAATAAATCATGCTGAGGTGAATCGTATATATACTAGAAAAAGAAAAAGAACAAATCTTTTAAGATTATTTCAATATAAATAAATTTTACATTTGTAATTTGATTATTTAGTAATTTTTCATGAATAAAAGTTTGATCATTAATTGAATTTGTTTCATCTTGATAATCATGTTGAATATTTTCTTGTTGTTTAGCTAAAGATGATGATATTGTTTCATCAGTTGTTGAAGATTTTTTTCTTATTCTTTTATGTTTATTTTGTTTATAATGATTAATTAATGCAATGATTATTAAAATAAGAGAAATGAAAAGACCAATTAGAATTGATCCAAATAAAATTGTACGTCGAATAAAGAAGTCTTTTAAATGATTAACTCTTAATTTAAATTGAGTTAAAGATGAGCCATATTGATTTGTTGCTGTACAAATACAATAAACATTATCAGATAATAAAATATTTTTAATTATTAATTTATATTGAATGAAATTATCACTTCGATTTTCAACTACTTCATATTTTTCATTTGAATTTATTTTTATTTGTTGATCTTCTCGTGACTAAAAAATTTCCTGAGAAAAAAATAATTTCATTGTTTTATTCAAATAGATTTATCTTCCATAAAGAAACAAACTTGAATAGCAATATCATTTGAAATTGAACAAATAAATGTTACAGATTGTCCAATATAAACTGAATCCACAGTTTTCTCTTCAATCATTTCAGGTGGACCTTTAAAAAACAAATGTTTTCTTCTTTAAAAGAATTTATTGAAAAATCAAAACCTTTTAATCCAAGTCTAATTGTTCTATTAAATATTCCAAATAATGAATGATGTGCACTACATATATAAAAAAAACAATGTGTTGCATTGATTGAACATAATCAATTTTCAATGAAGTTTGATTAAATAAAATAATTTCTTCATTAAATATCCAAGTTATCAATGATGATGGAGATGAATCAACATGACATTCTAATTCAATTGATTCTCCTTCATTAACTAAAGTAATTGAAGAATTGTTTAATTGATTTCTATATGTATCGATAAATATTGGTTTATCTAAGAAGAATTTTATGAAAAAATTTGTTTTCTTTCAATTATATTATTTCATACAAATAATATCAAGTATTATTGATTGATTAGTCGTTCCAACTTGATTTATTGCTTGACAAGTTATTTTATTTTTATTCATATATCTTGTTAATAAAAGTGATAAGCGATTTTCATTTGTTATATTTAATAGAGAACTTCCATTAAACCATTGAATTTTAATCAAATTAGGTCGACATTCAACATTACATTGAATATATATGATATTATTTTCTATTTGTTTACCGATTAAACTAATATTTATTTCAGGTCGAACTAAATAAAATTTCAAAAACTAATAATAGATATGAGAAATAAATAAAATAATTTACAAATTGTTTGAATATATTGTTGAGTTATCATTGTTTTATTGAGTGTTTGAATAGCAGATGAATGTGCTTGACATTGAATTAATATTCCATGAGAAGATCTATTTGCTATCAATGTTAGATTTGAAATTGAATTTCTTAATGCTTGGCCAGATAAAAGAGCGTAATCATTTTTTGATATGTAACTAATTGATTTTGGAAAATGCCAAGAAATTTTCGCTTCAGGCATTGCATTATTTGCTCGACATACAATAAATGATAAAACATGTTCTATTAATAAACTTGTTGGAATTTCTATTTAATAGAAAAGTAAAAAATAACTATTAATATTTATTTTTCTAATTGTCAACATACGTAAAACGGTTAATTTTGCTTTACGAGACATTACACCAGCTGTTTGTTGTCCTGCTCGAATTTGACATTGATACATTCCAATATCTTCTTATGATACATTGACTAATTGAAAATGATGTTCACCTTATTTTTAAATAGGAAATAATTCTGATTTTATTTGATTTTATTAAAAACTACAATGACAAACCTTGATCAGCATTTCCAATGAATTGATATCGAGGATAAAATGGTAAATCTCTTGTTTTACCTAATGTGCAAAAATCATTTTTACACCAAGTTATTTGACTTTGATGAATTGGTTCTGTTCGACAACGAAAAATTAATGTTGATCCAATAATTGTTTCAACATCATCGGGTTCTTCAATAAATTTATTATTGATCTTTATACCATTGATCAATTGAACGAATAATATTAAGATTAATAACATCGAATGTCGTCATCAATCTGAAAAGGCGAGAAAAACTAAAATTAAAAATTTGCTGTTTGTTTAAGACGATAAAAATGAAGAGAAAGAAAACGAGAGACAGACAGAGAAAGAAGACATATCCCATGACGATGTCAATTAGTAAAAAGCTTGTCGATAACGAAGAACAACGATAGACCAGTGTCTATCGAATGATCAATATGTTAATTGCATGAGTTGCCTAATTCGAGTTATATTATAAATGAGATTTCAAATGACTATAAACACTTCGAAAATAAATGAAAAAAATCGAGGCTTCCATGTTGAAACAGCCAAAAAATCAAAAGATTAAATTTTCATCCATATAACTGATGTCAGTTATAAATTCGAAGGCAGTCATGTTAGAAAAGCAAAAAAGCAAAAGATTAAATTTTCATCCATATAACTAACGTTAGTTATAAATTCGAAGGCAGTCATGTTAGAAAAGCAAAAAAGCAAAAGATTAAATTTTCATCCATATAACTGATGTCATTTATAAATTCGAAGGGTGTGATGTTAGAAAAGGAAGCGTAGATGTCTAATTCGACTTCGAAAATATAAATGAATAAAATCGACGTTTCGCCGACTTGTCAGGCCGCCCCTTGAATGAAGCTGGTATTGGTGCACGGGAGAACCTGCCTATCGGGAGTGTTTGTTTCAAGAGAAGACGACTGCAAAAATATTTATCCGTCTACGGTAGATATACAATAAGTCTTAGGTTTGGTTCATATATAGACAATTATGATGTTGAAATGATTTATTCAACCTGACTCCATCTAGGCAACTATTGACCCAGTTCATCTATTCAATTTTCCAATCGTTCGATTGGTGATCTGTTTCAACTATTAATTAATTTCAGCTACTGCTTATCTGCAACTACTTTCACCGCCATGAGATGCCCAGTTTTAATTCGAATATAAATGGAGCTTCAACTGTACCATCTCAATTCGAATATAACCAGAGTTATATACTTACAGCATCAAATACTAAGGAATAGTTTAAGTTTTATTTATATATATATATACATAGACTTCCATGTAAGTAGAAATAGATTGAGATTTAGATTTAGTTTTAGTTTCATTTATGTATACATATATATATATAGATACTCTCGAAAATCTTTGGTCACGCAGCCGACTCTTTATTATCTGTGTCGCGGCGTGGGGGCGCGCCCCCCCCCCCCCCCGACCGCCCCCCNAAGTCGAATTAGACAGCTGATCGGATATATAAATGAATCTAAATCTATTTCTACTTACATGGGAGAGTATGCATATATATATATATATATATAAATGAAACTAAAGCTAAATCTAAATCTAAATCTATTTTTACTTATATGGAAGCCTATGTATATATATATATAACTAAAACTATGGCTGGCTATATGGTAATGGCTAATTTAGCTTGGTTTTACCATTTATATTCGAAGTCGAATTAGACAGCTGCTCGTTTAGAATGGCTTTCATGAAATAATTGCAAATCTAACACTAATAAAAATATTTATAGAATAATTCAATTCTGTTTCAAGACAAATAGGTCTTATAAAATACTTCTACTTGTTCCTATACACTTTCTATCGTTTCACTCCAGCATTTTTGTAAAATAAAGCAAAAGAAATTGTTTATTGATAACTCTGTTGGCTATTTTCTGTTAGATAAATACCAGTTTTAGTTCTGAATTATTAACAATTAAATCTATATGAAGTCATTATTGTAACAACGTGATTTAATCGATATTTATATTTCGATTTTTAATTCTAGTTTTAGAAAAATGTTTTAATTTGTTAGAAGATTTCTTCATTGCAAAATATTCTTTATTAAGAAAACATATTTTGTATATTCAATAAATCATTGTCATACATAGATTAAATAAATTATTGTTTTTTATGATGTTGTTATATCAAACGTTAAATGAATTTAAATAAGGAAAAGATTGAACAGCTCACATGGCTAGCTGTTTTTATTTAATTATATAAGCATTCTGTTTTTATCAACGATTTGATGCATTAGAAAAAATAAAATAAATTTAAACCATAGTACAAATGAAGATTTATTTTTGATTTATCGAAACGCATTAAAATGTTTGGTAAATACGACGCATTTGCGAATCTTAGTTATCCATTAATTTGTGAGATATTCACATAATATAGATCTATTAAAAAAGAAATTTGTGCCATTTTATCTATGAGACTAGGATGACATCTATTTAACTAGAGAAATATGATTTCATACGTTGAGCTAATAAAAAAAAATCATTATGATTTTGCTGCTGATATGTTAGAATCTTCTATCCTAATGTAAATAAATCAAATGACGTCAATTCAAATTGTAAAACTGTTTAAGAATCCTGATTTTTGTAATATTTATTAGTTTCCAGTGCTAAATAATCAGACCATGCTCGGTTTTGTGAAAAGATTGAATTTAGCGTTAAATTTTTTTATTATGCAAGAACGTTGAAGTTTTATTGAAATTGATCTTAAACAAGTTGCTTTTTTTTCGTTCTCAAATGTTATTCAATTGTAATAAATTTATTTTTTGCTATCATCAAACCAAAATTTATTTTCCAAATATTCTCTTAGACGTGGTTACATTTAATCTATGATAAATAATTTATTGATAATAACAGTAGAAACTATAAATAAATGTCGAAAACATCGTATATGATCCTTAACAAAGCGTAATTAATTATACTATCTAATGAACGCATTAAAATAAAATTTATTATCATAGCTAAGCTTTTAATTTATACTTTAATCACTGTTTTCTACCGTTCACTGGAGACGGAACATTATCTGTTCCTTAATAACGGCTATTATCACATCCTTGATGGATATTTATTAATCATCTAATGTGAGAATGTATCTTAATGAGTTTTGATTCAGATGCAATACAATGAAACATACTCTGATTAAATCAAGAGAGATTCTAATGAAATAAACCAAATAAAACAGTGATTTCACCACCTGAATATCATAATATGTTGTGTGTTCAATCACACTCGATATTCAGCATATATTGAAAAATAATTTTAATTCAAACTTTGATTTTTATACGTATGTATCTTATTTCGTTCTTGATCGGTATCATTTAAATGGTGAGAAATATGCTAAAGTTATGAAGATCTATGTTTTAACTATCCTGAGATGAGCTTCATTTAATTCTTTTATGGTATATATCAATGGATGAGGATGATGTTGTTTAGTTTATCAAAGAAAATTCACGATATTTCTGTAAAAAAAATATTCTTATTTTAAATTAATTCAGTACGTGGGAATCTTTTACACCTTTTTTGTTTTGAAGAGAGAATCAGTCTATTAGTTGCTCAAAAAAGATCGACATGATACATTGAGTTTTTAGCTCGCCGATTTTTCTTTAAATAAATCACTTTTCTTTAATTCTTTTTCCTTGCTACTTTTTCTTATTATTATGGTTTATATGAAAGAAGCATCTTACAAAAATTGTGCATTGATTTAGTTTTTGCTTTCATGAATATCATCTGGTTGCTTTGCTATAGAGACAATTATAATTTTAAAAAAAATCAGCGTGCATTTAAATACAAGAGCCTACTAAAAAATATTTCTAATAATTGACAAAATGATAGTCTGAATTTTCACTGAACACTCAATGCCGAAAAATTAAAAGAAAAGATGAATACTAAATCTAAAATGGTTTATTAACTTGAATTTATATGTAGTGTATGCTTCTTAAATCTCTTATTTAAAAACGTTCTTGCTTGTACATAAACATATCAGGCTATATTTAATTTTCAAACAAAAGTATTAAACATCTGTTGGATAGTTTAAGATAAAGAAAGGAATATTCAACTATTGGTTTGAACAAGTGGGGATATAATCTATACATACGATATGTGAGAATAATTTTTCTTGGACATAAACTTTACATATGTTATTGGATTTACTACGGTGGAGTCAGAGAAAATAAGATAATGGTTATTTTAAATTTAATAAAATGAATTTTAACCTATTGACTTTTAAATCTAATATTCTCTTTAAAGAATTTTTCGTTCGAACACTTAATTTTTATCATGAGTATGAATATAGATATGTTGTTTTAGATTTGTTTATTTTCAAGTAGTTTTTTTTTGCATATGAACCACGACGGGAAAATGATCCAAGGCTGTGCTCGAGGACGAGCCGTAGCCATTAAACAATTTAATGTTGTATACGATTCAGATATACGTATGAAAGATCAATATAATATAACAAAATTTTTTTATCTGTGTGCTTCTTTTCCAGACGCCAAAACAGAAGATTCAGTGGTGTCAAATCAAGATATAAAAGATTTACACGAGTAAATGAACAATGACCATGAATTGACTTTAAGATAAAATTAATTTTCAGTCAAAATATTATTTACTAATGAATATAATATATTACATTTTGCTTTCTTTTATCTTAAGGGAACAACCACAAACAGTATCCAATGCTCAGAAAAAATGTTCTCGTTTTGAAATCGAAAATGAAATTATCAATATGCTTCAAAGCATTTTACAATTTGATAAAAAAATTTTATGTCAAGCAGAATTGTTGTATATCGGTGACGCTCATGCCCATTTGGATATTTTATTTGAACAGTAAATATAAGCAGCTAATTAAATTTTTATAGTACTCTCATTTGCATCGTTTAGATTAAATTGTGCAAAACAATCAATTGGAATATATCTACAACATAATCACCGTATATACAATACTGGATTTGAAATGAAGTATATTGTCCAAGCATATTTCATACCACGTCATTTCAATGAAGGTACATAAATTGCTCTGTTGAAACAAATATCTATTATTTTCATTTAGAGGACTGGCGTGAAACATACTCGAAATATCTTGAACATCCTGCCATATATGGCAAATGTGGTTTACATCCATTATTTGCTGATCACTACAACTTGAGTATGGAGCTGAATCTTCGTCGTTGTCTATCTCATAAAAAAGTTAAGGCTGTTGGAGAAATTGGTCTTGATTATTATAAGTAAATGATGTCTTTTAAAATTGAATTTTTTAATTATTTTACTAAAAGTAATATTTTTATCATGATTATTAGTGCTTCTGCTCCATCAAAAGATATTCAAATTGAAGCTTTTCACAACCAAGTGCTATTGGCACGAGAAAAAAACTTGCCTTTAATCATATATTCTCGTAGTAGCTTTATTGACATTATGAAAATATTGTGCAAGGTATGATTATTTCAGAAGATATGCATAAAAATATTTTCCCTTAATTATTATTATAATATTTCTTTCGAATCGTTTTTTTCCAGGAGCTACCTGTTGATTATCAAATAGCATGGCGAAATTTTGAGTATGAAAACGCGGAATTGAATATGTTAAACTCGAAGTTTAACTCTGTATTCATGACATGCTCACCACACATTTTCAATAATCTCCGAATGAAGCAAATAATACAAGCGACAAAAATCAGCTCAATTTTACCAGAAAGCGTGTGTCCAAACTTAACTGTTCGTGAAGTAAGTGCTGACTCAGAATTATATTTTTCAAAACTTTAAGTCTTATTATTAGTGTCCCAATGTGTGGCGTACACATCCTGTATTTGTCGCTCCAGTTTACAACTTCATAGCTGAACTGTATGGATTATCAATCGAAGAAACATCAAAGCAGCTGGTAAACAATATTCAACGCTTTTTTAACTTGAGTTGATACATCCAACCACTTTGCTTCAATTGTTTATCCAACGAATTCACAAGAGACTAGCTTTTTTTGTTGCATATTTTTTTGTATTTGCGCGAATTTGGATATATATTTGCACATTAATAATGACAACTAACTTAAGTTATGTTGTATATCATTATTTTCGTGCGTTGTTTATGTATACGAATAGCCACATGCAAATAAAAAGTTGAATATGAAATATAGAACGCATTTATACCTTTAATAAACACTCACAAGATGATGTATTCGAAAAAAGACTTTATTAAGAAACGAGTACAATATAGTTATTCATGAATTTAATTTTTTTAACTCTACATAATAACAAAAAAAACATGTATCTTCGAAGTCTTTATTTGACCATGATCACACTAAAATATTTCTCTGTAGAAAATTTTTACAACATACATTTATATCATATAATTGATACCAGAAATAAATGAATTTGTAGAATTTTCTACTATTAACAATCGAATATTTGAACCAACACATAATGAAAGCTTCTTAATTCCTGTCCTTAATCGCAACAGTTCATTTGAGATTCATTAACAAACTCAATAAATCTTTAGAAACGTCAAATTTCGATAATAAATAGCTTTAGACTTTATATTCAACAAGTGTTCTTTATTCTATTTCTGTAATCGTTCTAATTAAATATTTTTATAACAGAATAGATAGATGTAACAATCACTCAAGAAGATGAAAAAGAAATTGTTCGAGTTTGAAAGTTTTTGAGTCATATTCAAGAGCATTTATAGTATCGAAACGTTGAGCACTATCACATGTCGAACAACAATTGTATTAGACAAAAAAGAATATTTATATTGCTATTTAACTATCAATATTTAGTAGAATGAAAACATTTCCGTGATATTTGACTTGAAACATATTTAGTTACATGTTAATCGTTGACTGGAAAATAGATTTATAAATCAGTTCCCTTCACTGTTCAACAGTAAACATTAAATTGTTTATCTTATAACTATAGTATCGTGACGCCATCCTATGTTAATAATAAATGCTTTCAAATGTTTGAAATTCTTTCTTGTGCTACTAGCAATCACAATTTTCGTTAGAAAATGAGTCATTTCGATTTCATACATTCGATTATTTAAATTCCACACATTCTGATTTAATTCATATCGGTGAGATTCTTCCATTACATTACTTGATTATGCATTGAAAACGTATCGTAAAGAAACCTAAAGGATAGATAATACATGAGCTTTTACCAACCAGCAACGAAAATAAAAATTTTTCTCGATCTTCAAAATAGTTCAGCTGTTTTTTTGACTAAGTCCATAAATGATTCTCAAAACTATTGAAAAAAATTTGTCAAAATTCTTCTGTAAATTTTTCTAGTCAAAGTTTCAATATTTCACAATGTCAATAAGAAAAAGTGAACAGCCGTTCAAGCAGATATGAGCAACATTGAAATATTGCTCGAGAGACATTTTCGAATAAATTATAATTATAATCTAGGCAATTTAAGAATCAATGTTCTCCTTGTTTTATTACTAAAAAAACACAAAATTTGTTGTGGCAAAAAGACGTATTAGGTCTTTAAACACTAAGAAATATACAAACATGTATTATATTGAGTCATGTCAATAAAATACATCGATAGATAAAAATAAAACATTTGAAATCATGTTATATGAAGGATGCAGTGAAAGATCCAATTTAAAATTGTGAAAATTTTCACTGAGGAATGTTTTATTGTCTCCTCTTGATGTATCACACGTTTTGTGTCAAAAAATTCAACTTTTTGCTCGAAAGATGCTTATATGAAACAATGGTTTTCATGAGGATTGGTTCGAGTTGACGTCTGATAACTCACTCTATTTATACGTTCATAATCTATGTTTAAATAACGAACAAACCTTAAATAAAAATATGATTTACATTATTTGGAAGACGCATACAATCATAGAAAGTGCAACTATAAGTTTTTACTTGATATCAACATAAACTGTAAGTTTCTTTATAAAAATGCTAACTTTAAAAGACATGAATTCCGAGTTCTGATACACTCCGAAATAAGTTGACAGAACATCGAGAAATTTAGTTTTAATATTACTTCAAACTTGGAGTAATTCAAGCTAAAGTTTTTGTAATTAAATCTTAATTGATTGTATGATCAAAGCATCGTATAAAAATGTATCCAAACAATTTTACTTTGAATGTTAGTAGCCGCACATAACGTACAATAAGTACCGTTTTATAGTACAAATAATCGGATGGCATTGAATAAACGTGCCTTTTAGGAATTGAAATATATCTGATGAAAATTCAATGTTGTAACGTTTTTTCTTAGCAATATCTTTCTTTGAATCGTTTTCATTGACTTGAAATACAAATCAAATTTTTCAAAAAAATAGAGTAATTTATATTTGAAGATAGAATTTATATTTAAAATGCAGTTCAAATGTTTTTCAATAATGACTTCTGTTATTTTTTCGCTTCGACATAACACATGACTGCATTATCTATCGTCATTTGTTCATGAGCAATCAAATCAATATCGTGATACCGTATAGATGGGTTTAATCGATAATTTTTCTTGCTAAAAAAAAAGAACAGAAACAATGTTTAACTACAGATAAAAATAGAGTTACGGCATATATTTTTTTCTTGAGAAACGTTTTTAATCTTATTACTTGAAGTTTCTGAAAATACCAATTGAAATCTGTGGCACTGTGAGAACGAAAATTAAAAGTGTCAGACATTTTTCAAAAAGTAAAATCCTAAGTGTTATGTTAAATGTTCGCTTAAAGAAGAATAAGATATAAGCACAGAAAAAACAGAATATCAAATGCCTTTCGATCTTCGAAAAAATGACACACTACATATAAGTGGAATTCATGTGGATAGAGTTGGTTCGGCGTTGATTTGAAGAAAAAAATCAACGATAGTTGATCAATAAAGTTATCAAAGGAAATTAACTAAGAAATTATCTAATGTATTTAGAATTCTTCAGAAATAGCTTCACATGCACACATTCGCTAACAAAACCACTGAGACAGTGTATGTGTAATCTGAATAAACATTATATTCAGCACGTTTTTTTATATTAAAAAATTTAAGAAAAAAAGAGCCCGTTTCAATAGAAGAATTAAAAATTTCTTGCCAGTAACGTTCAAGAAAGAAGGAAAAAAATAGAATAATTATTTTTTGAAATACAGTAATTTATATATAACTAATGAGATTTCGTATTTTTATTTCTGTTGTATCAGGATTTCGGAGATAAATCATTTAAATTCTTCTTTTAAGATTGAACGTATTTTGCCACGTGGTTCATATATTTTTTTGTCATTGAAATTCTTTCGTCCTCATGCGACATCTATTCGTACTCATTCATATATATTTTATCCAGCGAAATACTGATGTGATTGTTGCACCAATAGTTATCTTCTTGTTCAATAGCTGTTAAGAATGGAAAAAGCTGGGATGGACGTGCAACTTCATCTAAGTTGTGATACTAATTATCATGACAGTCTATATAACAGTTTTTTTTCGTATTTGTATTATTATACGGTCTTCATCTTCAAGAATGAATTTTCATCATCTAGCGTATAAAGTCAAATTTACTTGATTTACTATAATGATTCATTTCAGATTTTTGTTTTCTGATATTATCATCACAGTTATCAAAAATACGTAGCCAATTCGAACATGAACTTTCTTCCATTCACGCATCAACAAATCCTACGGTGTGCATTAATTCTCTTGAACAAATCATGTTTAAGCTTTACGTGAAAAATTAATCTTTCATATTCCTTTTCTTTTTCATTTTAGAATTAAAGTACAACGAGCGGATCGAAAAAAAATAATAAAACCAATTCCATCATTTAATTTGCGTATTCAAAGTACGTCGTGTCAGCTCTGTTCAATTTGAAATGATCTTAATACTAAATTTTTTCAAAATGATTTTCATTTAGATAATGCCATGCAAAAAAGTCGTTCAACAGCTAATAGTATTGTTTTTTATTTTATATAATTGTTTCTTTATGAAATTATTTTGTAATTTTCTATATTCTTTATTTTTTGATCTATTTTTCTATTTTATTTTTTGATCTATTTTATTATTTATATATTGAAAGATATTTCTATATAATTTAATAAAATTCAAGGTTTTTTTTATTATTTATACTTTTAAATGTCTTGCTTTTTCATTTCAAATGTAAATGTGAAAAACAGATAAATGATCAACTCTCCTAGTTTATAAGGAAAGTAGTTTTTTTTTCTGTTTTACAACAAATTCAATAGTCATATGAAGAAAATTTTCAATGAATACACTTTTACCGTTGCATTTTCTGATTTTTTTCCTTTCCATATTTCATAACGTACCTAATAGTTATCAAAAATAATAGATTCCAATAAAGTTATCTCAAATTTATATTCTTATCTAGCTTGAAAACTTTATGTGCGAAGATAGTGAGAGTATCTGCACGACATCATAGTTGGGTTCAATATGCAAGCAAAATCTACTTTGAAATGCATTAAATCAAATTAAAATAGACTGATTATGGTTTGTCTTAAAAATAAAGATATGCATTCAGCTGACGAAAACAAGAAAAAGTACCGATTGAGAGAAAAGTCATTATACTGAACGCTACTGCTTCTTAGAATGCAGTATTATTGACGTATTTTTTTGGAAAACTTTTAGCTCTATGATCTAGATAAAGCAATGGTCGACATCTATCATGAAAATTATATAAGACAGCATATGAAGGTGATAAGCACAAAATATTAAATGACACTGGAACAATTGTCTCTCTTTTCATGGTTTATATAAACATGATAGTACTTCTCTGTGAAATTATAGCTGTGTTTAGTGAGATGAGTCTTTTTTTATATGAAAATTTTTAATACTTTACAGAGTTATATGCAAGCAAGAAAATACACAATAGACAACAAACAAACAATTAACAAAAAATATTTTCATATATATAAGAGATGATTATTTAAACAGCAAGTATGAGTTTTTAAACAATCTTACATAAACAAACTTTCGACAATGGATAAATCATATATTCAAATCGTTATCTTCAATATCATTAACTTCTTGTTCGTTTTGTTCGTATGTTAAATAATTATTAGAAGCCTAGAATAAAGTCAGCGTATTATTTTAAATATTCGTATAGAAAAATTCTTATTACCATTATTTGTGTCCATTGAGTTATTTCATTCGATGGTGATGGTATATTTGATTTGACAGCTAAGTATGGATTATCTGGAAAAATTTTTGTATGAAAACAATTACGTAAATGAAAAATTATACAATAGAAGATGGTCGAATACGGCCATGATATGCCTCTCAATGAAGCTTTCAATCTTGTAAAGTGTGAAAATAACTGTTCACAGACTTGAGTGTTCTCGTTATCAAAAAATGGTTTGTTGGTCGGATGAGAACAAGATAATATTGTTTTACAATCAGGTCGTGTATGATTTCTTCGATGGAATCTATCAATGCAATACTTCTTTTCAAGCAATTCGTTTACATAAGGCGATTGCTTGATAGATATACCATACTGGTTTTTTAAATATGCAATAAAGGTACACGCAGAATCATAAGCAGCAGCAGGAGGTAATATTCCACCAAGATGAAGATATCTTAATAGGTAATAAACACTACGTCGCATACCTTCTGACCGGACGCTTTCGTTCCAGCCAATAATAACATTACAATTGGATACAAGTGCCATAAATCCAGCTGTACGTCGTTTGTTTTCAGTATCATCTTCATCGCGATGAACAGTGCATTTATCAGTACTTTCAAATTCATCAGACACACGATCAAGTTCAACTGCTTTTATAGATGATGGATTGTGTGAAACGCCTGATTGCAAACCATATATATAATGATCTGAGCAGTAGTGTTTACATTTATTTCTATCAATATCTTCGTAGAAAAGCAAATGAATGTAAAGAGAATTTTAAAAGTAAAATTTGTTCGTACTTGACATATTCTTTAAATGACTCGATGATGCCCGAAGCGGTGCACGGGGGCAGCCAACAGCTACAGCTCCCATTTCCGGCACGGATTCATCACATGCTGCTGTATATGCACATACTAATCGATGTGCCTTCATATGCGTATCAAAAACAAAATTACGCATACATGTTTTTTGAGATTCACACTTACAAATATTAACCTGTCCATGACGGGACCAAAATTTGACAAATACTTCATAAAAATAGTTACTGTTGGCTTCATAATACATATCATGAGATAAACGTTGAATAATATCAGGTATTTGAATAGTCTGAAAGTTTGTCATAAATAAAAGAAACCGACACAATTCAAACCATGTCCATGTCTATAAATAAAACATGTGAAAAATTAAAAGTTTTTTTATTCATGCGTACTTTTGACCATAACTTACCGCTGCAAAATATTTTGAGTTCAGTTTATTTTGTATTGGAACATCATTGTTCAAATTTCGATTTTGATCAATATCTGCATTAGTAGCATCAGTATATGATTGAAAATTTGATGCTGCTTCATACACAAGGTTAGTAAATGCTACAAGTAATACACGTTCGTAGACTACATGATCAAATAAATGAATAAATTCTTGTTTAAATATTGCATCAGGGAGGATAAGTCGCTCACGTGTTCGCCGATTGCGAAAATGACCGTACTTATAAACAAAATCACAACATTCATTCTTGTATAATACACATTGATATACATTATTACGACCAATGATATTACAAACTTCGTCAAATATTGGCTCTCCTAGTTGACCTTTGCACATAAAACAATGCTTTATTGTCGGGATTAGCTGATAAATTCGAAAACGATGTGGTTGTAATTCGAATCTACATTGTAGCCGATCGATTGCCGCTAATAAACGTTTTTGCTCGTCAGTGAGTCGAACTTCTTCCACTAATTCAGGTACACGATTAATCGCCATTATATCAGGCCAAATATCGTTTTTGTAGTCACAATTGCTAACTTCGTTGAGTATATCCAAAATGAATTCTTCTCTTTTCATAGGGTCATTGATAATATTGATTGGATAGAGTCTAATTAGACGTAGTAATAAAGCAACATGAGATGGTGGAATACGTCGAAATATATTCAATAAGTAATTTCTATCAGATTCCGATACACTCATTTCAATCAACAGTTATAATATTTATCTGAAATTCAGCATTACAAAATTCAACATTACATTTCTATCGATTTCAGAACTAAAGTGGAAATGATAAAACTTTGGTTCGTCCTGTAAAATTTAGTAATTTCTTTATTTTTTCTCACATCAAAGAAAAAGAAAAACAATAATAAAAGAATGATGTACATAGAAAACAAATTAAAGAAATATTATAGACAATGCTCACTTGAGCGAATAATAGACAGGATGATAAAATCATATTAAGAAGTAAACTTCTTCAGAAAGGAAAAGAATTGAATATGAAATCATAAAAATGACTAGAGGGATATGTGGAGTCTTCTTCACAATATGCAAATGAACAATAACATACAAAGAATAATCAATCAAAGCTATATGCATAAATAAAGAATAGAAATAAAATTTCATGTTGAAGTCAGAATAACACATATGATTGAAAGAAGTATACATCGTTCAAAACAGGAAAATAATAAAAGTGGTTAAAGAAATATAAAATAAACCTAATTATCATACATTTTCACATAATATCTTTCACTTTTAACTGTCGTCATGAAATTTTTTCGGTTTTCGTTGTCGTTTCAGTGGTGGATGATCAGTTGATTCATTTAATCGTTTTGCACCGAGTAGTTTCAATTCTTTTTTTGTTCTTTGAGAAGCGGTTAGTTTACTTTTTGGTCGATCAAATGAGTCATGAACTGGATTAAAAAAAAAAGAAAAATAATTTCTGAAATCTATGAATATAAGAAAAAAATTATCCTACCACTGTCATTTGATACAGAAGTTATATTTATTATCATTGGGCTTATTTTGACATCGGGACAAATAACGTTGCTTCGATAATATGTACTAATATGTCCTTCTTTGAGTTTTTCAAACCAGTTACGATTTAATAGCCAGTTATGGCGTGCTGTATTAAACATATTATTAGTAATCGTAGTCAACATTGACAAATTTCCTTGATAAAAGACTGCTTTAACATAATGGTCAAACGTAATACCAACTTTGTCTCGAAGCTTCATTTCAAACGATGACGTCTCAGATATTAGTTCAGATATCGGAAACAACTTCAAATAGCCAATCTCTGGTTTGAATGTTTTATTCACTGGAGCACTTGATAAAAACAAATCATCAATTTTTTTAATAAATCCGTTTTCTTGTAAATATTCAATAACTAAATTTTTCGTTTCAGCATTATTATACAGCCGAGTAACATCAGTTTTTGTAAATGTAACGAAAGATTTAAGCATAAGTCTCTTTGACAATGCGATAACATCTAGTTTTCAATCAAAATATTAAAAAATCCATAATTATCATCAATAACCATTACCGAATTTCTTGATGGATTGAGTAGTTTCTTTATCGAGACTTCTTTGCGAATTTTCTGATATTTCGTTGCAATCATTTGGCATAACTTCATCAGATGATAATGATTGAAGTATTATATGGGAATCTAATTAAGATATAAATGACCCCATTTTAACAATTTCTAAATCAATTACCTTCTTCCATAGAAATGCAATTACTCGTTTCGCTTCCTTGACTAACAACATATTCAGGAGAAGTTGTCGAAGATGAATCAGACAATGATTCCTAAAGATAGTAGTTTAGTTAATTAAATTTGATCTGAAAGATACAAAAAACCTTGTCTACATTTTGTTGGTAACATACACTAAAATCAATGTCGTTGATAATCATAGAATTAGTCGTTGGATCATCAAATTCCATTGAACTACAATCTAAAAAAAGCAAAATTAATTCATGAATCTTATCTGATAGAAAGTCTACAAATATTACTATTTGGCTTTTGAATAGTTGTAACACATTTTATGTATACATTAATGTTGTCAACATCATTTTCTACAACTGAATGAAAAAAATTGAAGTTCAGTTTTCTTACAAAATGGTATTATTTTACTGGTTTTTATTCTGTCCAATACGTATATACAATCATTAATGTTGTTATTATTAGTATCAGGTATAACGGATATACAATCATCTAGATAGAAATATATCAGAGAGGTTAACCATAACGCAATAACAATAATATCATGAAACTCACTTTCTTCAATTGATAAACATTGGTTTTGTGATGTATCTGTTTCACAATATTCTTTCGAGAAAACACTATTAAAATTGATAAAAGATGTTTGTTTTGGTGGCAATTTATTTGAATTATCAACAGGTTGTACACAAGTTTTATCTGCATTAGACGAATTTGACACAGAGAGATTGTTGTTATTCATTAAAGATTTAGTATTGTTCAATAAAGGCATAGTTTGTGGATTTGCTCGAATACACAATCGGTTCAATTCATTCATAATTTCATGATCATTGTTAAAGAAAACAATATGTTCTGGTGCCAATGAAAATGTATTCGAATCAAAATCAATACCAATTTGACCACTAATTAGACCAGGTCTTAGAATTTCTTTAGCAACAGGATCATTAGCATCACCCAAACGATGAATAATTGAAATATAGTCAACTAAATATAAGTTAATATGATTAATTGCTGAAATTTCAATTTTCGCTGCCATTTCAGGTACAGGGAGGAGACACTGTTGCCACAACTCTTCATAACTTTGAATATTTAGATTTAATTTAGCTAATGCTTCAATTGCTTTATCACTTTTTTTTATTTGATTGGGTGGCTTCATACCATAGCTTGTATGGGCTCCTTTAATAAAACGATTTTTATGAGAACCTTCATAAATCAGTTCATTATCGACTAAGTATTTTAACATAAGATTTAGTCGATCTTTCTTATTATGAAATACTCGATGATAAATAAACGTTGATACCGAGAAAAAAATTAATTTGGACAAAATAATCATTGAAGCATCCTTGTATATTAATTGGTCGCTATCATAACTTTCTGGTGCACTACAATTTATTCAATTGAGAAAATTTTAAAATTGTGATGTAATTTGCTTACTTTTTTAATAGCCTAGGTATTTTTAATGAAGAATTGAACGTTTCTTGAATCTGTGACAGATCAAAAAGTTTTCGAGATATACAATCAACATGACCAAAGAATAAATCGCCCATAATAGCCGTATCTTTTTCAATAATCAAAATTTTCGTTCCATCAGTTTTACATAAATTTGGTGGAAACAATTTATCAATAACAGTTTTGACAGCTTCAATGAAATTATCTGATATACAATACGGTGGTTTCATAACTTCGGATATTTCAATAAATGGATATACGTCATCGTGCCATAAAATGTTCATGATTGTTCGAAATCTTGCAAAGTTACATATAAAACTAAGAGACAACAAAAATTACATGAATGAATTCAGACCAGATTGGTTTACCGAGGAATTTTGGTTGAATTTTTAAAATTGATAATAGCTTCGTGTTCTTGTTTTTCGGTTATTGTTGCTTCTTGCCATTGACTATAAACTCGACTGAACATGTAATAGAATGCACTGTTACTATTTTCGATTGTTGCACCGGCTTCAGGTTCTTCAAGTTCGATTTCAATTTGTAATGGCGAATGATAATATTCACGAACAGCCATCGGTCGTAATCGTTTCCATTTATCTTCCACATCATCACTAAACATATCTAAAAACACAAAATACTATAATAAAAAAGCAAAATGAGTCCATTACTAGTTTTTTTTTTCTCTGATTTATCATATACATTTTGCCGTGCCACATATTCAACTTTTCCCAGCATCATTGAAACTGCATAAACATGTTGAAGTGACGGAACCATATTAGAAGTAACACCAGCCGAACCAGCATTAGTTTTAATAGCTTTCATAACAGGGCACGGGTAATGGGTGAACCGATTATGTGCCCCACTAATACCATTACCTCTATACACATTAAATTCTAGAAAACAGAGAAGTATTTGAAGTATCTCACTTACTCGTAGTGTTGCTGTGATACACGTGCATAAGGATCGCCAACACTTGCACCGATAATAGAAGCTCGACGTCCTTCTGGTATAACATATGATGTTGATAAAGTTGATCGATTTTGATGTTTGGTGCCATCGAACATTTGAATGAGCATATTGACATTTTCAGCAAATCGAGGATCATTGTATTGATTACCATAAACACCCAAATTCGACAAAAGCGTATCGCATTCTGTCGAGCATAACAAACGGTTTCCATAGATCAAACTTCGATAGACATGTAACGCTGTGGCCTGTAATAAACAAAAACTAAAAACTACATAAGAAACAAAGATAAAATCAACCAATACATTTGAAATAATAAACGGCTGTTCGAATGATAAATCACTAGTCTTGTTTGGATACTGAGTGTAGTTTTGATTAATATCCAATTGTACTAAAGCCCGACCCAAAGCATCCATATGAGGAGTGAGAGCCGACGATTTGCCACTACCTATGATAATGCAGACATCTAACGTAACGGAAACAAATACACAACATATAAAAACCTGATGTTCCTATAATGTGTCCAAACATATTTGTACCATCAGGATTTCCATTATTGACATAGTGATAATAATACGAATTATCATTGATAGAAGATAAAAAGTGTACTAAGATATACAAATTGAGACCTTTATCAACATTGGAATCCAATGACCAAGATGTTAAGGTAGCCTTTTCGAATGAAGTCAAATAGATTAATTTGGTGCATGGATCGAATATTTCTTCATCGGAACACAAATAAGCACGCGTTTGTGCATGCATCAACATAAAATCTCGCAGCATCGGCTTTTGTGGTCGTGACAACATGTTAAATGTTCCAAACGATTGTATGAATATAAAAATGTATAAGATATTTCCAAAGATAAAATATACCAAAGTTCAGTAACCCGTATAAAAAATCAACTTCTAATTAACCATTAATTGTAATCATAAACAAATAAATAACGAGTTCAAACGAATTCTTACGAACACGATTTCATTTTATATTTCGTTATTCCTACAAATAAATAAACAGAGTCAATATCAGCATTAAACATCATCTATTTATAGGCGAAAAGAAAAAAAGAGAGAGAGAGAGAGAGAAACGCTTGACCAAGTAAAACAGAAAACAATGACACACAAAGCAACCAAATAATGACCCCTCGACTTTTCTTATTCTCGATAATGCAATAACCACATAATAGCTCCTATTTTCAGTCCGACAGTATGAATGTCCTTATCCGACCATCCAAACCAAAGAAAACAATGAACAAATTACAAATCATATCACATAACCGACGTTAGAAAATTCCTTAACACAACCACAACCATTCATTAGTTCAAACAAGAATCTAACCATATATAAACAAATAATACATGATAATACGACTGAACCAAACCTAGAAATAAGCCATTCACAAAAAATCTACATACTAAAAGAGGAAAGCAGATGAATCATAACGCGACACAACTCCACTAAACTTACACAGCCAATGAAACGAATTTATAACTGACGTCAGTTATATGGACGAAAATTTAATCTTTTGCTTTTTTGCTTTTCTAACATGACTGCCTTCGAATTTATAACTGACGTCAGTTATATGGATGAAAATTTAATCTTTTGCTTTTTTGCTTTTCTAACATGACTGCCTTCGAATTTATAACTGACGTTAGTTATATGGATGAAAATTTAATCTTTTGCTTTTTTGCTATTTCAACATGGAAGCCTCGATTTTTTTCAGTTATTTTCGAACTCGAATTAGACATCTACTCCAAAAAGTAGTCCAAATACGATGCCATTATCAGATACGTTGTCGAATATTTATGTATTTGTATGGCAAAAGCAAATCTTAAAACAGCTACAGCTAAACAACGAATTCTTTGGAAGGTAATAAATCTTCTCAGTATATATAGCTATATGCTTCAGTTGATTTGATTTTTTATAGATATGAAGATCAAATATTTTTCACATGGAATAATGGGAATGAAGAACTACTTGGTAGTTTTTTTACAAACTATAATAGATAAAAGTCCTAATGTGCAATCCAGAAATTGATTGCCTCAAGTGTACCATTCTTGAATGCATTTGTTCAAAATCAAAATGGCAACTTATTTAGTCGAATTTATCGTCATCCACTTATTCAAGGTTATTCATTGCCCTATGAAGTGGATCATGCAAAATTAGTTCATAGTGATTCGCTTCGATCGGTTTTAATTCGAGCTGCTTGTTATTGCTCGACAGTCGAATATTTTAATCTCGAACGTATTTTTCTTGAACTAACTTGTTTTACCAATGGGTATTCATTACGATTTGTTGAAACTCATGTGCAATATTTCCTTAATTTTTTTCATCGTCATCCAATGCGTTATTCAAGAGACCAAATCATGTATAACAAATTTCGTCATAACTGGTGGGTGCTTTCACGCAGGTCCGCCCAGATTTACATCGACCTCCTGCAGGCAAGATTTAATCTTGCTAGTTTTGTAGCGCGTATCGAGTTGTGCAGGAAACCCTATTTGTTTTTAACGAAATCATGCGCTAAGTCCTACAGATAGGGCTCAAAATCCGATTTTCTAGAAATTCGATCCCCTAAACCAAGAAGCTTCTGTTTTTGTGAACATGATTTGAAAATCTTAATCAGACGATTGGATAGAGCATAAAAAGTTGTCTATATGCAATAATTTTCGGGTGTGTACATAAAAATCTCGAAGCACCAGCGTTCTTGCAAAAACCAGAAAAATGCGATTTTTGCTAAAATCGAGTACTCTAGAAACCCTACACTTGGACATAGGAATCATGATTTGTTAGAATCTAAATGAAGCTTAGGAAATGCTAGTTCGAAATAGTTGGATTAAATTTTCAGAATATATTCCTTAATTAAGATATTCGACTTTCAAAAACCAAGGATTTCTAAAAACCTCATATTGGGCGTTCATTATCTCGAGAACTGCACGCCAGAATTCATTCAAATTTGTTTTATGAGTAGCCGTCAGTGAGTGCTACCTATGCCAAGAATATCAGTTTCCCCATCCTGGAATAACAAAAGTTATGATGTCTACAATTTCTTAAATTTCGCAATGTTAAGTCTTAAGATTTTCCGATTATGATCGTGAAAATCATCATTTTAATGATGCGTATCAGGTAAATTTTTATGCATAATCCAAATACACTCATAGTTACAGCCCGTTGATAGCAGAGATTTTTAATATATAGAAAACTAAGTGAAAAACCGTAGAACAACAGTTTTTTTTAGGACTTTTGCTTCTTCTCTAGTGTTTACCTTATATTGAATCTGTCGGATAACGAAACTTGGTAATAGTTGTGCATGCTGATCCAAATACGGAATATCGGTGCTTACGTAGGATAATATTTCAGTCAACATTCAGCGAAAAGGTTTTGTATCTCATTGCATAGAGGTTGTACAATTGTGTAGCTGCAACGTGTACCAATTTTGGGATGTTAGCAAAAAACATTTATCACTTTCCAATTCAGCATTGAGTGCGTATCGTCAAACAGGAAACTGAAATGAAGTTCGGAATCGGGGTGGATATAGTGATGACACATGTAGTTCTATCAAGTTAGCTTCCACACCTTGGACAACTGCTAATCGTCAATGATCTTGGCATTAGACACCAATATAATTAATAACGTTATCATCATTCATTGTCACCAATAAAAATTTTGCTTTTCTTCAATATACACCATTACATATTCAAAAATACTGAAAAAACTGACGCACTGCTCCAAGCATCTATGCGTACCTATGACCTTTTACATTTTTTCTCTGTATATTAGAAATCTCTGCTATCAACGGGCTGCAATTATGAGTGTATTTGAATTCAACATGAAATTTTACCTTATACCCATCGTTGAAATCATTATTTTCACTATCATAATCGAAGAATCTTAAGGCTTAACATTGAGAATTTTAAGAAATTGTAGATATCATAACTTTTGTAATTCCAGGATGGGGAAACTGATATTCTTGGCAGAGGTAACAGTAACTGAGGGCTACTCATAAAAAAAATTTGAATGAATTCTGGCGTGCAGTTCTCGAGATAATGAACGCCCAATATGAGGTTTTTAGAAATCCTTGGTTTTTGAAAGTTGAATATCTTAATTAAGGAATATATTCTGAAAATTTAATCCAACTATTTCGAACTAGCATTACCTAAGCTTCATTTAGATTCTAACAAATCATGGTTCCTATGTCCAGGTGTAGGTTTTCTAGAGTACTCGATTTTTAGCAAAAATCGCATTTTTCTGGTTTTTGCAAGAACGCTGGTGCTTCGAGATTTTCATGTACACAGCCGAAAATTATTGCATATAGACAACTTTTTATGCTCTATCCAATCGTCTGATTAAGATTTTCAAATCATGTTCACAAAAACAGAAACTTCTTGGTTTGGGGGATCGAATTTCTAGAAAATCGGATTTTGAGCCCTATCTGTAGGACTTAGCGCATGATTTCGTTAAAAACAAAATATGGTTTCCTGCGCAACTCGATACGCGCTACAAAACTAGCATGATTAAATCTTGCCTGCAGAAGGTCGATGTAAATCTGGGCGGACCTGCGTGAAAGCACCCGTAAAAAAATGAAGTAAATGCATCAGTTATACTGATAATGTGTGTCATTTCACGTTGAGAAGTTCATTAGTCTAAACCACTCTATAAATTTATTCTTTTGAAAATAATCGGTGAATCATTAGGTTCTAGGAACAAGTAAAATAGACGTATATCTGTAGTACATGTGAAAAGAACATTGTAATTAATTGACGTTTTTAACATAATTTTGATACTGATTTTGTTTCTGGTTAATATAGCTGAAAAAAATAAACCTTCAAATGATATCCGGTATTTAGTCGTTCTGATTTGTACACGATCATATGGTAAGAAGAATATTTGAATAATTGAATGTTTCGGATATGCATGGTATATGACAATTTTATTGTTAAGTGAGGTAATGAGAAAAAGTAGTACTATACGTTAGCTTGTTCTTTGGATCGAATTAAATATAACTATTTGATTTAATTGAATGTTTCTTGAAAGACTGAATATAGCTTGGTGAATAGAAAAATAGATCGGATTCGTACATACACCTTTTCAACTGGCTAATTATCAAATAATGATATACGTGTAAATAATTTATAATAGTGTTTTTAGCATTCAATCTTAAAACATTATTTAATTCATCACTTCTTTTTCAAAAAGAAGAAGTGGACTCTGAATCATTCAATAAATGTTTTTGTTCGTCTGAATAACTAAGTACATCATTTTTATTACGTTTTGTGCTCCTCTGTTTTGATCAAATATGTTGAAATGTACTTGAAAAAGGTGAACAGTAGCAGGTTCTTTTCGCCAGACAATAAACACTGAAAAGATTGGCATTACTTCACTAGTGATTCAAAAATAGTTTAATCAATATTAAATGCCATGTTGCCATTAGTAATGCTTTCAATTTTAATAAAACGATATGTTTTTTTTTAAATATATTGAGTAATGCATCACTTGATTGATAAAAATTAAGTTCATTCGATATTGTTCAGAAATATTCTCCATGAGCGAAATGTCAATATTCAAAAATACTTACTTCAAAAGATCAACCTCCAACGAATTTATTATAGAGTTCGTTGAGTTAAAGCTTTTTAGGAGATGAAAGCTTAATATTTATAAATGCACGATCTTTTGTTGAATAAATGAAATTAATGCTTGATTTGATGACAAGAACTAATACTATTTTTGACGTATAGTATTTAGAATTTGAGAAGTAAGTGATATACTTGTTGTCATTGCGTATCTGGCTTGCTGAAAAAATAATTTCAAAAAA